GACTTCTTGGATACCAGGTTAAATAAAATACCTTGTTTTCCTTTCCTCATCTTATTCTCCTACTATATTCTCCCTTTAAAGAAAGAAATAAATTTACGTCTATATTAACTGTCCTTCTAGTATTGGGATTTATGCTTTCTGGAATCCATTTAGCTTAGGATTTTATTCTTGAGGAATTAATTTAAGCAAGTGTGATTTCCTTTGGGTGGGTTTTGCCTTTGGGTTCATTGTGATAAGAAAATACACAACTCTTGGGCTGGGGTGGTGGCTCAGTGGTAGTATGCTCGCCTAGCATGCATGAGGCACTGGGTTCGATCCTCAGCACCACATAAAATAAGATATTGTGTAAATCTAAAACTAAAAAATAAATATTTTTAAAAAAGAAAAGAAAATACACAACTCCACCTGGAGAGAAGTTTACCATGAATAACTTCTAGAAAGAGTTGTATAGAAATCTGTTTTTTCTTACTCATACAAGACTCTTGAAAGCCTGTGATAGTTCTTACTTTGCAGCATATCTCACCAAAAGCTATCCATATACCAATGTCTAAACCTTGGCTTTCAATTTTTTTTTTAACCCCTTTAAATTAAGGGGGTGTGTGTGTCCCATACTCCCCTACACACACCTGTTGGAAATGGAGTGATTAATACACATAATTGCAAACATAATCATTCATAAAGTTAAAGATTGAGGGCTGGGCTGAAGCTCAGTGGCAAAACATTTGCCTAGCGTGTGTGAGACCCTGGGTTTGATCTGTAGCACCACAGAAAGAAATAATAATTTTTTTAAAAAGTACATGGTTTTGGTACAGTTTTAACAGAAGCATCTATACATCTTGCCAGAATCCTTCAATCATTGTTTTTTAGTTTTTAATTGTAGTTGGACAAATACCTTTATTTTTTTTATTTATTTTTATGTGGTGCTAAGGATTAAACCCAAGGCTTTGAATGTGCTAGGTAAGTGCTCTACTGCTGAGCCACAACACCAGCCCCCCTTCAGTCATTCTTTATAAGACAGCAAATTTTTTACAGTTTTGTAGAAACCAGTTGAATTATGGGTGGTTGGTTCAAAATGAAGCATGAATTGTAGTATCTTTAAATCCTAGAGAGAAAAAAAAAATCCCTACTTGACTACAGTTATCTTCCAAATCCGGAGTATATAGTACAGTTTAATTTATTTCAATTTATCAGAAAGATGAGGCACTTGACAGTTACATTAAGGAGCTAAAGTCATTAAAGCAGTTGTAGGTTTGCTAATGCCACTGTATTTTTCTGCTCATAGCATGGACCCATTCATATGACTAATTTAGGTACAGGCTTCTCCAGTCAGAATGAAATTGAAGGCGCAGGATCGAAGCCAGCAAGTTCCTCAGGCAAAGAGCGAGAGAGGGACAGGTAAGTTAGTTTGATCAATTATACAAATACATTTAGTTCTCATTCTTATGCACCATTTTGTGTAAGTAATGGTTATTGCTACGAGCTGCAGTGTACTAAAGCTTGTACTAAAGCTCACATGAATCAAACTCCTCTTTGTTGTAATTGATGCAGTAATGGAAAATATTGCGATATATCTTTTACTGTTTAGAATCAGATAAGTTAAAAATTGAATTCAAACGGATTTTCATTTTTTTAACAGGCAGTTGATGCCTCCACCAGCCTTTCCAGTGACTGGAATAAAAACTGAGTCTGATGAAAGGAATGGGTCTGGGACCTTAACAGGGAGCCATGGTGAGTAAGGTGGAGCTGGGGGAACAGGGGACTAAGTAGGACTGGACTCAAGCTATAAGTTTTCCTAACCTGATATTTATTCAGGTGTTTAATCCATCCTCTATAATCTACTGTCTAATGAGAATACTTTTTTTTTTTTAATAAGGACAACGTATAGTTACAGCCTTTTATTTTCAACCGACGTGTGTCTAGAAAAGAATCAGTCAACTTATTTTATATGTAGCATCAGTGACATTAAAACCCTAGGAAATACTAATAATTGGTAGGTCATTTCAAAATTCTATTGCTAATGTCGTCTGAATACCTGGAGGTGATCTCATACAGATTTAATAGATTTTATTTTCCTTTAAAAGATCAGTTTCCTTTGTATTGGGAGCTGAAGCACATCTCCCTGGCAGCCTGTGGCTGCCACAACATTCCCAAACTCTAAATCCATAGTGGTGCATGGGGTCATTTTGGTTCTTTGTCTGTAGTCATAATAAAAATGAACAGAAGAAAATACATATTTTTCTTTTCTTAACTTCCTTTCTTTTAACTCTTTAAAAGGTGAATATCAGCCCCCAAAGACTCATTTGCTAACTTTCCTTTTTTTCTTTTTTCTTTTTTTTTTTTTTTTTTGTGTGTTTCTTTTTCTTTCTCTGTTTTCTTACATGGTTCTGGTGGATTCACATTTGCTGATGCTGATGCTGTTTTTCGTGTGATCTTCAACGTTTTTGGGTGACCATTGACCTTGTGACCTCAAAATGGTGTCCAACTAACCACTTAAAATTAACGTCTTTTTTTTATTAACGAATTTATGGTATTATCTTTTTTTTTTTTTTTTCCCTTGGTGGGGAATGGGGTTGGGGTTGTTTTCTCTATTCTAGATTATCCAGCCAAAAAAATGAAAACTACAGAGAAGGGATTTGGCTTGGTGGCTTATGCTGCAGATTCATCTGATGAAGAGGAGGAACATGGAGGTCATAAAAATGCAAGTAGTTTTCCACAGGGCTGGAGTTTGGGATATCAATACCCTTCATCACAACCACGAGCTAAACAACAGATGCCATTCTGGATGGCCCCATAGGAAACAGTGGAACAGTTTTGACCCTCGATGACTCTTCTTAGCAATAATGCATGCATTTGATTTAACAAGACTCTGGGGCCTGTACTGGGAGCCATCTTGGACCTTTGCAGAATTTAGAGGTGGAGTGCCCCCTTACTTAAAGGGGTTCCTTTTTTTTTTTTTTTTTTTAAGAAATTCTCATTTCTGCAGTGGCATTAACATCTGTTAAAGTTTACTTAGAATCACAAATTTGTCTCAGAAGCTTTTTAACAGTTGGTGAAATGTGCTTGTCTAATGAAGCATCCCAACAGGGTCATTCCTGTAGATGTTTGGCCTGATCCAGCCTCTACTCTCAAATGAAGTTTTCTTTGTATTTTACTACTGTTGGGTCAGTTTTGATAACTGGTTACAAACAATGCCTTGCTATTTATTAGTGGGGAAATGATTTTAAGATCATCCTTTTCTTTTCAGTACCTAATTCTAAGAAATCCTCATCCCTGCTTCAGTTTGGATTCTTTCTGTTTTTGAAAATGCTATTTTACTAATTTAAAATTGTCAAATGCAGCTGGATCCTGACTAGGAAAATGAAGTTATTTTTTCATTGTGAGTTTTTATTGGGATGATCCAAAGCGGGTACCTTCAGGCACATTTGTCTTACATAGCCATTGCAGTTTTTATTGCCCTTCTAAGCTCCTTGTCTTCAGCTGGGTCAGAGAAAACTACTTGACTAAAATCTGGTGAGAACTCATCACAGAAATGAAACACAGTGGTCTGTCTCTCTCAGAACTGCTTGCAACTAAAATAGAGAGATTTGACTACACCAAATAGGATGGTGGACTTGGTGACTGAGATTGCAACTTGTCCTTTTTTCTTGGCATTACAGGTTTTGCCAAAAGAACTTTTTTGTATCAAATATTGATGTGTGAAAGTGAAGGAGCTAGTCTGCTGAACCAGGAGTAGTTTGAGATACTGAACTGTCATTTTTGCACATTTGAATACTTTGCAGGCTGGCTTTGTATAAACTTATCCTCTGGTTTCCTATATGTTGTAAATAATTAGACCATAATTTCATTATAAATAAATGTATAAATATTCTGCTTGTGGTTTCTTTATTTTTTTGATCTTCTACAATCCATCCTTACATTAAAATTAACATTTTTACTCAGCATATTGCAGTTAAGAACCTCACAAAAAAATACATACACAGACTCCGAGGTTTGCACATAACTCCAGGAATTAATTTTTAAAATTATTTATTTTTTATGGACATAATACCTTTATTTTATTTATTTTTATGTGGTGCTGAGGAATGAACCTAGTGCCTCCTACATGTGACGCAAGTGTTCCATCACAGCTCTCCAGCCCCAGCCCAACTCCAGGAACTTAAAGTCAGGATGAAAATTTTGAGGGATATTGAGCTCAATGTATTCCTTTTTTATATTTTAAGGCAGATTTAATATTTTCTTGGGAAGACAATCTTTATAAAGTGGTGGGCATCAGGAATTTGCCAGTATAAAATTTTCTGTGCATGTGTGTGCTGCCTGGAGATACATGTGCATTTATAAGCTCTTGAGTTATATCCTTTCCTGCCAGAGAGAAGTAATATTTCAAAAAAATCAATTTTGAAGGGCAATACTGAGAATGGAAGCCAGGGGCCAATGCATGCGGTTGCCCTGAAGCAGGTTTTTTAACGTTTTATAGATATATTTAAAATACATAAAGACCTGTGATTAGGATTACTAGATGGTTGTGAACATCTGCCCTTTGGCTCCTAATTAAAAGGATCTAAGTTGTGCTTGTGAAATGAAAGCTTTTTCTGCAATGGAGGAGAGTCGTCATCCCTAAATTCCATCTCAGTCCTTGTTTTGGGAGAATTTGAGGTGTGAGGTGGTCCCTTTCCTCATTTGCTCTGTTTTGGCCTTAAACTGGTTTAAATTCTGTCTGTCCCACGATAACCACCAGCAAACGCCACTGTTCAGATGCTCCTTTGAAAGGTCCCCTGCGTATCACGCGCTGCCTCCTCCTGACTAGTCAGTTCACTTTATGCTGTTGCCTTAATGACCACGTCTGTACTTGCAGACCTTGAAACTAGTACGTGACCAGTGGGCCTTTGTGGCCCATTGCGGAACTAGGTTTGGGGACCTGGAAGGGGCGATGTCCCGCCCCGCGAGGGCGGGGCACCCGCAGGCGTCACGGGGCGGCCCTGCCCCTCCCGTGGGGACGCAGTGCCGGTGGCGCCATCTTACCCGGCTGCGGGAGGGGGTCACAGGTCAGTGCCCGATCCTCCCGCCAGCGAAGGAGCACCTGGTGGGTGCCCAGCCGGACCGCAGGGCCCAGCGGCCGGAGGTGACGGGGGCGCCAGGGCCTGGGGAACGGTGGGGCCGGGAACGGGGAGGGGGCGGAACCTCGCGCCGCGGTGGAGCGAGCCCCTGCAGCCCAGCAGCAGCCTGCGTTTGGTCCCCAGACCCCAGGCTTCCCATTTGGCTCCCTTTCTTGTCTTGGTGCCCCGTTCTGAAAAGATTGTAAATTTCTTTGTCTCTTTTTCTTTGTGGGAGAAGTAAGTGGGGAAACCTGTGATGTGTCATACGACGGTAGCATCTCGGAGAGAGAGTGAGGATGTGGGGCTTCTTGGGGCCCCAGAAAGGTTTCTGAGGTGTTAGGAGCAATAGGCCATAATATGTCTGGGAAAGTAGGGCGCTTCGGGACCGTCGGCACGGCGTGTCCACCCTGCATTAGATATCTTTTGCTTTCCTTCTAGGTGGCTTTTCCGTGAGGCTGCCCAGGATTTCCCAAAAGGACAATGGATTCTGGAACTCGCCCTGTTGGTAGCTGCTGTAGCAACCCTGCAGGGCTCTCACGGGAGTACAAATTAGTGATGCTGGGTGCTGGTGGTGTGGGGAAGAGTGGTAGGTGACATTTTCCATTTTATATGTAAGGATGAACAGGAACTTCAAATAAATGACCTCTACCCAAGCCAGTGGGGTTACTGGCTATTTGTTGTGCAATGTTGATACTTTCAATCCTTTCTGTGGGTCACCTTGGTGAGGATTTTAACTTTCATTTCTTGTTTTGAAGCCATGACCATGCAGTTCATCAGCCACAGATTCCCAGAAGATCATGACCCCACCATTGGTAAGTCAGATTCTCTCTTAGGTTTCCAAATACACCTTGTAAAAGTATCTTAGAGCCAGAATTGGTGGTGCCAACTTGTAGGCCCAACCACTTGGGAGGCTGACATGGGAGGATTGCAAATTCAAGACCAACCTCAGCAACTCTCAAAATAAAAATAAAAAGGTCTGGGTTTGTGGATCATGGTCAACTGCCCCTGAGTTCAATCCCCAGTACAAAAAACGGGGGTGGGGTATCTTGTTAAATGTTTGGTAAATGTCAATTTTAAAAAACAATTAATAATAAATGCTTAGTTTTTCTTTGCAGAAACAAACCTTTCAAACATGTTTATTTGGTCCAATACCAGAAACAGCATATTAACCTGAGGAAAAAAACCCATGAAATATTGTTAAATTTCTACTTATATTTTGAGCCTTTTTCATCATCTAATTCAGATTTATTTAGAAACAAGGATATAATAGTGGTTGGTAAACAATTGAATAGTTCTTTTTTTCTAGATTTTTAAACATAAGCCTTCTTTAGTCTCTGAATTAAGCTGAGTATTAATGGGACAACTTTCTTTGTCATATTTTTTTTTTTTTTGGTTGGTGTGCTGTATGGTTAGACTAAAGGCAAAGCTTAAAGGCCACTTACTTACTATCACTTCTCTAAGGGTCTGACTTGAAACTGACTGTAAGTATGAGTCAGCTGGTTTGAACTTCCACAAAAGGAAGCAGAAAAACAAGTAGAGCCAGCCTCCTGAACTCTTACAACCCAGGCATGTACGGCCTGGACTTATTCCACTTGAAGCCTTTCATTTACTTCCTTATACCTGAAGTTCATTATACAGTGGTATCGTTTTCCCTGTCATTTGTAGTTTTTAACTCTCTTATTGTCAGAATGCTGATAGAGTAAAAAAAGTCATTTTGTTTGTTTTGCCTTTTTAGTTTTAATTGTTCTTTTCTCCTAAGACTAAGAACACTAGTGTCATCCCTAAACCTTAAGGAAGCAGGTTTAATTCTAAGGGATTATATCTTAGTATAAATAAGTAAAGGTGAGGGAGGACACAGAAAGGCGGCCTTACCACTGTTATTTTCAGTATGTGGCACTTTGCCATGATACTGGGTCTCTAGAAAGACTTTCCATCAGGTCAGGCCCCTGCTGCTGTTTTCCATAAAGCCAAAAAGAGTGTTCAGTGGTAGCCCAGCTTTGGATGTCGTCATTTTATACAATAGGTACTTCTGTGGATTTGGGAAAAATAGAAACAGTTTTTGTTTTTCAGGTACTATACCAGATCTATCTATCTATCTATCTATCTATCTATCTATTTTGGTGTTGGGGATCACACTCAGAGCCTTACAGTTGCTAAAATTAAATGGTCTGCCATAGAACTACGTCCCTAGCCACATGAAGTACTTTTTGATATTAGTGAATATTTTTTCCCATTATCTAATGACGCTGTCTGATTCAACAGCAGCTACTTAGGTTTCTTGGGTTGCTGTTATGAGCCAGGAACTGGGGTAGGCCCTGGGGTACAGTGGCAAACAAAAAGATATGGTGTCCGTTCTCACCCAGTTTACATTTTGTTTTAAACTTTGGCTACAAACTATAAGACGAAAAACTTTACATTGTAACTGATACAAAAATATAAGTATGAATATATTTTGCTGATGGATACTTATTATACATATGCAGGTATGTTTGTAGCAAATTAAAATATCATGAAATTTTGCTTACCTTTCTAAATATAATGTTCTCTAGGATTTTGTCTCTTATTTAAGCTTTTGCGTCTCTATTTTTGGTTTTGGCGGTACTGCGGATTGAACCCATGGGTACTTAACCATTGAGCCACATCCCAAGTCCCCCCCCCCCCAGTTGTAGGTGGACACAATACCTTTATTTATCTTTTATATGGTGCTGAGAATTGAACCTAGTGCCTCACACGTGCTAGGGAAGCACCCTACCATGAGCCACAACACCAGCCCCATCCATCACCACTCCTTGTTATTTTATTTTTCTTTTTTGTTGTGCTGAGGATTGAACCCAGGGTCTTGTGCATGTGAGGCAGGCACTCTACCAACTGAGCTATATCCCCAGCCCTCTATTATTATTATTATTATTATTATTATTTTAATATTTACTTTATAATTATGGGCTGACACAGTGTCTTTATTTTACCTTATGTGGTGCTGAGGATCGAACCCAGTGCCTCACATATGTCAGGCCAGCACTCTACCTCTGAGCCACAACCCCAGCCCCTCCTTTTTATTTTTTGAGACAAGGTCTCAAGCTTGTACTCTAAGCCTCCATCGTTGCTGGGATTGTAGGCACGTGCTACCACACCCATAAAGTCTTTGCTTATCTATTTTAATGTTGGCTTCCCCCATTAGGTTTATGTCACAACTTACTAATACTAAAGGACCATGACTTGTGGTTTGAGAAACACTGATTTAATAGGCTCTTCATCTCTGAAATAGGGATTCAAGAAAAAATATTAAAAGGTCAGAAATAGGGATTCAAGAAAAAAATATTAAAAGGAAATATATTGGGATATAAATAGCAGTTGTTTTGAGGTATGAAAATATTGAGAGGGTTTTTTTTTTTAAGTTGTTGATAGTTTATTTATTTATTTATATGCAGTGTTGAGAATTGATGCTAGTGCCTCACAATCCCAACCCCAATCCTTGAGTGGGTTTTTTATTCTTCTTTTCTATGATTTCCAAGGTTACTAAAATAACATACCTTAAAGAAACCAGGTACACTAGCCTGCATGAGTAGAGCTACTCAGGAGGCTGAGACATGAGGATTATTTGATCCCAGGAGACTAAAGCCAATCTCCTGGGATCAAATAAGACCCCATCTCCTTAAAATAATAATAATAATAGTAATAAGCATAAAATAAAATGTCTTACATAAGGGAAGAATTGTGACAATATGGATTATTTAGAAAGTGTAGTAAAGTAAGTTATGGTTTTTCTTTTATCTATACTATTAATACAAAGAGCTGGGTACAGTGGCACATGTCTGTAATCACAGTGACTCCGAAGGCTGAAGCAGGAGAATCTCAAATTCAAGGTCAGCCTTAGCAACTTAGCAAGACCCTGTCTTAAAATAAAAAGGCCTAGGAATATAGCTCAGTGGTAAGCTTAAAAAAAAAAAAAAAAAAAAAAGTTTAGAGGTTGTGTGGTGACCTGGGAGGCTAAGGCAGAAGGATCACAAATTCAAGGCCAGCTTCAGCAAGTTAGCAAGACCCTGTCTCAAAATGAAAAGGACTGGGGATATGCCCTGCTCCTCTGGGTGTAGTCCCTAGTACAAAAAAAGGGAGGGGGGGGTGGAATCAACTTCAGTATCTTCATGAATTTTAAAATAGACACTTCATTCTGTGTGTATGGATTTATAGTACACCTTTCTTCCTTCCTGTAGAAGACGCTTATAAAATCCGAATCCGTATTGATGATGAGCCTGCCAATCTGGACATTTTGGATACAGCTGGACAGGTATTAAATCCCAGAAAGCTATGAGTAAAGGCTGTTTTACTCTAGTAATTGGGAGGGGAAGGCTTATGCAGAGATCACTAGTTTATCTCTCTTAATTTTTCATGCACTCTGACTCAGGATAGCAGGTAATCGACTTACCTCTTCTTTAAACTGAAATAAATAGCTAGTGTATATAGATCTAGGTTACATCAATACATTATTGATCTATGTGTTTCTTTAGGCAGAGTTTACAGCCATGCGGGATCAGTATATGAGGGCAGGAGAAGGGTTTATCATTTGTTATTCTATCACTGATCGCCGAAGTTTCCATGAAGTTCGGGAGTTCAAACAGCTCATCTATCGAGTTCGACGGACTGATGATACACCTGTGGTTCTTGTGGGAAACAAGTCTGACCTAAAACAACTAAGACAGGTGAGGAAAGAGAAGAAAATGTTGTCTAACATCTTGTAGAATAAGTCATTTATGTTTCTTGGTTTACAGATTTCTTTGCCTTAAAATAAAAAAATCAAAATTAGCTTCTCCCTAACCTTGAAAATTTTGCTGTATCTATTTGCTAATATTATGGATAAAAGGGCTGGGGATGTGGCTCAAGCAGTAACGCACTCGCCTAGCATGCGGGGGGGTGCTCTGAGTTCGATCCTTAGCACCACATAAAAATAAAAATGTTGTGTTCACCGAAAACTGAAAAATAAATATTAAAAAAAAAAATCTCTCCCTCTCTCTCAAAAAAAAAAATTAAAAAAAATATTATGGATAAAATCTGGATTGGGGACTCAGTTTACAGGAAGCCACAGGGTTATGATCAGAATAGAATAGAATATCCATCAAATAAAAGGTCGTGGAATGATCATTGACTAAAACTTCAGAAATAAATCTGTTTAAACAGTATAGGTGTGGTGGCACACATCTGTGATCCAGCAACTCAGGAACTGAGGCGGGAGGATCACAAGTTCAAGGCCAGCCTCAGCTACTTAGTGAGGCCTACCTGGTGAGACCCCTTCTCAAAATAAAAACTTAAAAAGGGCTGGGGATGTGGATCAGTGGTTAAGTGCCCCTGGATTGAATTCCCTATACCATTAAAAAAAAAGTGATAACTTTCAAGTTAATGATAATATTTAAAATTGCTGGTTGTGGTAGAGGTTGAAAATATAGTAAAACATTCATGACTACAAGTGAAAGCAATGAATGATACAAATCTTTTGAAAGTATTTTGACAGTTGTTAAATTTGTAATATTTCTGTTCTTTCCATTTATTTATTTGTTTTTATTGGTAACTGGAGATTAAACCCAGGTGTGGCTCTACCACTGAGCTCTATCCTCAGCCCTTTTTATTTATTTTGAGATACATTGCTGAGGCTGACCTCAAACTTGCAATCTTGCCTCAGCCTCCATAGTGGCTGGGATTACAGGCATGCACTACTACACCTGGGTCAATTTGTAATGCTTCTCTGTTAAGCCTTAGAAAAATCTGTTCAAGAGTTTATATGCAAAGTGTTCATTGCCAGGCTATTTATGGTAGCAGAAAATCAGAAACAGTCTTACTGCCCAAAAGTAGGAGAAATTATGGCCTATCCAGAATTGGATATATTGATTTGGGGTTCCTCAAAATTTTCAGTATTATAGTTTAAGTATATATCTCTTTTGTTTCTGCTTTTCTTTCTTAAAATGGAAAGTGTGGAGAAAATTCGTCTTGCATATTGATGTCCATATCAATTTAGTAATCTGTTCTTAAAAGTTATCTTGAAAAAAGATTAGAAATAGAACCATATAATTTTAAGGCAGAAAAAGCCATGTAATCTAGTCCCCCCAAATTATAAAAGTGCCTGGATTCTGTCTGCATACCTTCAGAGTTGAGATGTTCTCCTCCTGTTAAGGTTGCCTATTTACTTTTTTTTTTTTTAAGGTGTAAATGGATCTTTTTTATTTTATTTACATATTTATATGTAGTGCTAAGTGCTAAGGATCGAACCCAAGGCCTGACACATGCCAAGCAAGTGCTCTGCCACTGAGCCACAATTTCAGCCCCGCCTATTTACTTTTATACGGTTGTAATGGTTTTTCTGTTAGCCCTCTAAATTTGCTCGTGTTTGCACTTTTAAAGGTCACCAAGGAAGAAGGATTGGCTCTGGCCCGGGAGTTCAGCTGTCCTTTTTTTGAGACTTCGGCCGCATACCGCTATTACATTGATGATGTCTTCCATGCACTTGTACGGGAGATACGGAAGAAAGAGAAGGAGGCAGTGCTGGCTATGGAGAAAAAATCCAAACCCAAAAGCAGTGTATGGAAGAGGCTAAAATCCCCATTCCGGAAGAAGAAAGATTCAGTAACTTGAAGGGAAGATGTGAAGTGTTTTTATCTGTGAACTGCAGTGCTTGATCGAAGCAGTCCAGTAACCTGCAGTAGTAAGCATGGTGCTTGCTCTTTCTCCTGTTATGACCATTATTTTAAAAGTAACTGATGAGGGGGACGTGCCTACTAGGAGTTTTCAATAATGTGGTATTTAAAGTATTGTTTCTTAGTTGATTCTGATTTATTAACCCAGTGACGCACTGTCTGCTTTTACATTGTCACATTAGAATTTGATCTACCATTGTTTTGGGTTATTTTGCTGATGTTAATTAATTAATGTAAATTTTTTATATCCTGGGAGAATATGTATACCATGTGTGTTTGATGATTTCGCAAGAGGAATGTGCTGTACACTCCCCAATCATCCTTTAACTTCGGTTTCTTGGGACTGTCCCAGAGAAGGACCTCAGTCTCATCTATTCATACTGAGCTTCCGTGTCACAGAATAAAAATCATACAGGGAAATCAGTGCTAAAGAGATCAGTGCTAAAGTTCAGCAAATAGCTATGGAGCTGACATCTATTCAGATTATGGAGTGATGAGATTTGGGTAAATCAGATCAGATGCTTGCAGGAAGTTGGCTAGAAAAAGGTAGGGTCAGAACATTGTTCCCAGTACAAGCCTGGCTTTTCTGAGAAGTGCACCTTTGGTCCAGACACTGGGAGGGGTAAGAATAGACAGAAGCATATGAAAGGTAATGGAAATTTCTCCTTGGAGGTTCTTAAGTTCTTTTCAGGGTTTTGCCTTTCTTTACCTTCAAAGGTAAACACTGGATTGCTAAACTTTTGTTTGTCCTTAGTTGGGACAGCCATTGCCTTGTACAAATTTATTTTTTCTCCACAGTTACACACACTAAGACATTGTTTCCTAGTACTTTCCCTTATCTTTCTTGTACTCTTTGGAAGAGCAAGACCTGGCAAAATGATTTTTAAGCCCTTTGTTAAACTGACTTTATTTTCAAAAGTTGGAGTAAAATCATGTGGCCTCCTTGACATCAACAGTCACTAGACTTTACTCAAAGAAAGTCTGTGGTTTTTCTGTTTAATGGGTCAGTCATAAAGCTTTAATATTTGTACATTGGGTTTGTAATCCTAAGATTTCCTTAAGAGGACTTACTAAGTTCACCTCAGGGTTGTCTGAGCCTTGACAGTTTGGCCTAACCACTTTTCTCCATATATGTAGTTGAGAAACTACAGTCCTAGAAAGAAATTGCTTTAAATATTGCTGGTAACTTCTCTTTTGAGGATCAGAATCATTTTGCTATCCAAATAGACCTGTGGAGAGTAAATGCAAAAGAGCTAAGAGGAATGAGTCACATGTTGAGTATTCAACGTCATTGAAGCACTATTTGTGTCACTCTCAGAGGATGGTTTTGTGTAGCACCTCTTTGAAAGCTCAACCTACTGTTTTCTGTTGTTGTTAGAAGCAGGACGACAGGGTTGTTATGTTTTTCTTTATAAACTAACTGTTTATGGTCTAGATTTAAAGAAAAGTTCTGACATTTTTTTAGCTCTGAGTAGTGGTTTTTTTTTGAAACTCCTGAAAACGTTTTTGCTACCAAATAAATCATGCTTTATGATACTCAGCCATCTAAAAATGAAAGACCCAAAATTTGAGTCTGCACAAAACAAAAATCTCACGGGAACCATTGCACTTTGGAGAAGCATGGAAGTAGAAATACAGTGCAATTCTATTACAGTATTTTACCACATTTAAACTAACTTAGAGCCTTTTAAGTTTAATGCCTTAGTTTCTCATTACTAATGAACTAGGGAATTATTAGCATTAAGCAAGAAAATGACAGTTATATAATTGCAATGTAGAGTGTTGCCAGGAAATCTGTAAGACTGAAGGAAATTTGTATTGCATATGCAAAAAATAAGATTAGTGTTTTTAAGACTTATTACTGACACATATTTGATTCCTGGATAAACTAGTCGCTTAATTAGTACTGAGAATTCTGTTCATTCATGGTGCTAGATAGTTTGAGGGGTCTAATATGTGTAAGTCATATCTCTTTTCTTAGTGGTCATATAGTGTAGATAATTTATGAGCTCTAAATAATCAGCTTTATCCAATTCAAGGGCATTAAGATTAATTACTGCCTGGAACTTTGAAGAGAGAAAAATTCAGGGACACATTTAAAGGCACTGGAACAGTTTATGTCCATATCAGATCAGTAAATTAAAAGATTCAGAAACTCATGTCTAAAATTAGCTGGTTAGAATTCAGAAAGAGACATGTTTTAACTTTGTGATATATTAGCAAAATTTCATCTACTGTGATGTTTTGGGGGAAGTTTTTCATTTATGCACTTGTATATGAAGACAATTTGTATGACAATACAAAACTCAAAGAATTTGTTGGGCTTTTCTTTTACTTATATGAGTGGGTAGAAATATTTGGAATCATTATAGAAAGCTCATTTTAAGGAAAAAATATAGCATGTCTGTAATCCCAGAAACTTGGAAGGCTGAGGTAGGAGGATTGCAAGTTGTAGAACAGCCTCAGCAATTTGAGAAAGCTCTGAGCAATTCAGATAGACGCTGACTCAAAAAAATATATATAGCCAGGTGCAGTAGTACATGCCTGCAATCAGGAGGCGGAGGCAGGAGGATCACGAGTTCAAAGCCATCCTCAGCAACTTAGCAAGACCCTATCTCTAAATAAAATATAAAAAGAACTGGGGATGTAGTTCAGTGGTTAAGCACCCTGGGTTCGATCCCTGGTACCAGATAAATAAATAAAATTAAAAATGATTATATTGATTTTGTTAAATACATTACGTATTTCTGCCCTTTCCCCCTCCTCCCTCTTGTTCTCCACTTTCTACTACACTGATCTTCCCATTCAGTTTATGCTATCTGAAATCCCCCCCACACACCAACTTTCCCTCATTCTGCTGTAGCTTCCACATAGGACAGAAAACATTTTACCCTTGATTTTCTGAGTTTGGCTTATTTCACTTAGCATGAAGTTCTCCATTTTCATCCACTTACCGGCAAATGTCATTATTTCATTCTTGATTCATTCATGTGTTCATGGGCATTTGGGTTGATTCCATTATTCAAAAATATTTGAGTGCCTATAATATACGGTCAACTGCTAGTGAGTATTGATTCAGAGATTACTCCTTTGTGAGGAGATAGGAAAACACAAATGGAAAACTATAGTACATTTGCCTCCTAATTGAAGATTATGCAGTTGTTTCAAATATGTATAAACTAAGATGCGCGAGAATGAGAATAACTTTTTTTTTGTACTGGAGATTAAACCACTGTGTGCTTTGTCGCTAAGATATAACCCCCATCCTTTACTTATTTATTTAGATAACAGGGATTGAACCCAGGGGCACTTGATAAGCCACATCCCCAGCTCTTTTTTTTTTAATCTTTTGTATTGAAACAGTGTCTTTCTAAGTTGCTTAGGGGCTTGCTAAATTGCTGAGGCTGGCCTTTAACTTGGTGATCCTCCTGCCTCAGCCTCCTGAGTCACTGGGATTACAGGTGTGTACCACCTCACCAGGTTCTTTTTTATTTATTTTGAGACAGGTGTCACTATATTGCTTAAGGCTTTGCTAAATTGCTGAGGCTGGTCTTGAATTTGGTGATCCTCCTGCTTCAGCCTCCCTAGTTGCTGGGGTTACAGGCATGCACTACTGCACTGAGCTTATATGAAAGTCTTTGCTTTTATCTCCACTACTTTAAATAGGTACTAGTGTTGGTAACCAACATGACCTAGTTTGGACATTGAAGAAATATATTTGTTTACTCATTATTTAACATTTTTTGAGTGATGGAATATTTTTGAATGATAGCCCAAATGTCCATGAACTCATGAATGAGTCAATGTTGGCTACCACTGAAACAAGGGTAATGGAGAAAGGGCCTTCCATTTTTTAATGTAATCTCTGTTAGCATAGGTAATGAAGTTCAGCCCAAGTGCCTCTTCTGTAAGCATGAAGCATAGTAGGATTCAAAGGAATATAAAATACTATCTTCACTCTGGAGTTTAGATAAAATTTGCATACACAGGGCTAGCTCAGTGGTAGAGCACTTGCCTAGCATGCATGAGGCCTTGGGTTCAAATATTGCATATACCATCAATCTTCTTCCCTTCCTCCTACCCTACCCTTTCTGTAGTACTGGGGCTCAGGTGAACTGAGGACCTTAAGCATGCTAGGTAACTGACTCTGATTGACTGCGACAGACTACACCCCAGCCCTAAAACCAATCTTAAGGTGTAGTAGGTTATAGTATAGGAACTTATATGCTCCAAACTGAGAATATTATGAGACTTCAGAAGAGGAAGGAATTAGTAAGGTCCATGGCAGATAAAAGGACCCCAACTCCTTAGGAGCTAATGGAAGAAAGAAGGAAATTGGAGAGATTAATCTGAATTTTTTTTATAAATTTGATAAACACTTTATAAATAATTGTTGGTGTTACAAGTTTTCTAAACCCAATCTTGAGAAAGGTAAGACATAGATTTTGAAATCATTATTATTATTATTATTATTATTATTTATTTATTTATTTTGGTGATTCTGGGAATTAAACCCAGGGCTTTGTGGATGCTAGGCAAGCAAAATAACTGCATCCCAAATGCTTTTTTTTTTTTTTAATATTTATTTTTGGGCTGTGTTTGTGGCTCAGTGGTAAAGCACTTGCCTTGCATGTATGAGGCACTGGGTTCAATCCTCGGCACCACATAAAAATAAATAAGTAAATAAATAAATCTATTTTTAAAATATATATTTTTTAGTTGTAGTTGAACACAATACATTTATTTATTTTTTGTGGTGCTAAGGATCAAACCCAGCACATGCTTAGCGAGCACTGACCCGAGCACTCTACCGCTGAGCCACAACCCCAGCACTTTTTTTAAAAATATTTTTTATAGTTGTTGATAGACCTTTATTTTATTCATACGTGGTGCTAAGAATCAAACCCAGTGCCTCACACATGCCAGGCAAGTGCGCTACCCCTGAGCCACAGCCACAGCACCCCCAAACACTTTTTATTTGAGATAGTTTCACCAAATTGCCAAGGTTGACCTCAAACTTGCAATCCTCCTGCCTCAGTTTCCTGAGTAGCTGAGATGACAGACATGTACCACCATGCCCAGCTGAAATCTTACTTTTTAGTTGTCCTTGTTAACTTTGACCTCCTTCTCTCCCTCTCTCCTTCCTTTCTATCTTCATTTCTTTTCTTTCTTTCTTTTTTTTTTTTTTTTTTTTGTATTGGGGAATAAACCCAAAGGGTACTCTCTCTACCACTAAGGTATATCACTAGCATTTTTTTTCCCCCTAGTACTGGGGATTTTACACAGGGAAACTCTACATTGAACAACATCGTTAGCCCTTTTTATTTTTTATTTTGAGACAGGGTCTTGCTAAGTTGCTGAGGTTGGCCTGGAACAAACTGAATTTTCCTGCCTGAGCCTCCTGAGTCACTGAGATTACAGGTGTGTGCCACCAAGCCCAGACTTTTTTTTGAGGCAGGGTCTTAATTGCCCAGACTGGTCTTAAATTTGCCACTTTCCTGCCTTAGCCTCTGGAGTCACTGGGATTACAGGTGTGCACTACTGTACCCTGTACTTAGTTTCAAATTAAAATTTATTTTCAAATTGTTCTTACCACATCTCATCGATTTAGCTAGAACAGAAATTTAGGTGGCATAAACATAAAAGAAAGTAATTGGAAGTCCTTGTTCTCTGATTCAAGAGATTATTGGCTATTCCTCAAAATATCTGAGAGTATTCAATCTCAGTGCACAAATTATTTTTGTTTTCCTCCTCACCATGAATTTCTGTCAAATAATTAGAAATAGTATGAATTAGAGTAGGAAATTAGAAGCCAGTTACCATGGTGCACACATGTAATCTCAGATATTCATGAGGCTGAGGCAGAAGGATACAAGTTTGAGGCCAGCCTGGGCAATTTCACAAGACCCTGTCTCAAAAAATCAAAAGGGCTGGGAATGTAGCTCAGAGGAAAAGCACCCTAAGTTCAATCCCCATTACCACCATTAAAAAAATAATAATAATAATAGTATAAGCATAGTTGATAGGAGCCGGGAGAAGGAATCTAGATATTAGAAGGTAAGGGTAAAGCCAGGGTTGCGGCTCATTGGTAGAACGCTTGCCGAGCATGTTGAGGCTCTGGGTTTGATCCCCAGCACCACATAAAAATAAACAAATAAAATAAAGGTATTGTTCCATCTACAAGTAAAAAAAAAAAAAAAAATAGTTTTTCAAAAAGGTAAGGACAACCTGGGCTCAGTGGAACCCACCTGGGATTACAGGTGGGAGGTTGATGTAAAAGGATTGATGTAAAATTCAAAGCCAGCCTTAGCAACAGAGCAGGTATTTAAAAAAAAAAAAAAAAAAAACGGGCTGGAGATGTAGCTCATTGGAAAGTATCCCTGTGTTCAATCCCCAGCACTCCCTCCCCTGAAAAACCCCTTGTTTCCTCACTTGATCTCAGTTATAGCATCCTTGTTATTGCTCACTCAACTATTCCCCATCATACACTATTCCGGTTAAATTATTAAAATTTTCCACATCAATTAACTACAACCTTAACATGGCTTTACACAATCCTCCAAGGAGTTCCATAGACACTTCAACACCATCCAGCCTGGTGACTCCTAATCTTCTTATGGCTGCATGGCTGCAATCAGATTTATTTGGAGAGGTTTTTGTTTTAATATAGATTCCTGAATCCTATCTGAGTATCAGATTGAAATTTCCAGAGACAGGAAGTGAGAAATATAAAACAACTCTGTAGCTCTTCTGACCCAGAAGAAGCAGGTATTTGGGAACCATGCACAACATTCCAGACCAGCTTTCAAGGTTTTCCACTCAAGTAGTTCAATCCTTATGATCTTTTGCTGACCTCTGCCCTTGCCTCTTTTTTTTTGGTACCAGGGATTGAACCCAGAGGGCTTAACAACTGAGCTACCTCCCCAGCTCATCATATGTTTTATTTTGAGACAGGGCCTCACTAACTTACATGGGCTCTCGTTCAGTTGCTAAGGCTGGCTTTGAACTTGCAATCCTCCTGCCTCAGCCTCCCTAGCTGCTGGGATTATAGGTATGCTCTGCCACACCCAGTGAAACAAGGGATTTGACTGACAGGGACGAGTAAAAAAAATAAATAAATAAACTCACATCTTGTTATGAAGGAAATCACTGGATAGAACAAAGAACCATTAGGTCTTAATAGTTGGGGTATTCTGAAATCTCTAATCAACCTTTAAACAGGAATTGGTCATAAGACAAAATTACTGAAATGTTCTAGCTTTGTCTAATAAATTAAAAAAAAAAAAAAAAAGCCTTGATGAGCTTCTTCTGGTT